ATGAGCAATTGATGTTCTGTTCCACAGTCAGCCCCTGGCCTTGTTCTGACTGATGATTTTGTATTACTCCATCATATCTTTCCACAGATGTAGTTGATTTGATTCTTGTGTGTTCCACCCAGTGAAGCCCATGTGTATAGTCACCATCTATGTTATTGAAAAAAGGTATTTCCAGTGAATAAATTGTTGGTCTTGCAAAATTCTACTATGCAATCTCCAGCATTGTTTCTGTCATCAAAGCCGTATTTTCCAACTACTGATCCTTCTCCTTTGTTTCCAGCTTTCACTTTCCAATCACCAGAAATTATCCATGCACCTTGATTGCATGTTTGATCAATTTCAGACTGCAGAAGTTGGTAAAAATCTTCAATTTCTTCATCTTTGGCATTAGTGGTTGGTGCATAAATTTGAATAATAGTCATATTAACTGGTCTTCCTTGTAGTAGTATGGATATTATCCTGTTACTGACAGTGTTGTACTTCAGGTTACATCTTGAAATGTTCTTTTTGATGATGAATGTGACACAGTTCCTCAGCAATTTGTCATTCCCGGCATAGCAGACCATGTGATTGTCTGATTCAGAATGGCCAGTACCAGTCTAATTCAGCTCGTTAATGCCATCCTCCTAAATTTATTGTCTACTTGGAACCTTAGAACGTGACCTTATTTGGAAATAAGGTCTTTGCAAATGTAATGAGTTAAGATAAGGTCATACTGAATTAGTGTGAACCCTAAATCTAATGACTGGTGTCCTTATAAGAAGGCAATGTGAAGACACACACAGGAGAAGGCTATGTGAAAATGGAGACAAAGATTGGAGTGATGTGTCTATACGCTAAGGAGCCCCAAGAATCTCTGGCATCCACTAGAAGCTAGGAGAGAGGCCTGGAACAGATTCTCCCTCAGAGCCTCCAGGAGGAACCAACCCTGTTAACACTTCAATTTCAGACTTCTGTCTTCCAGAACTGTGAGAGAATAAATTTCTGTTGTTTTTGTCACCTTCATTATTACAGCAACTCTAGGAAACTAATCCAATAATGAAATTGTACTTTATAACCAACTTTTTTTGGAGTGTAAGGATTCCATAAATGGTAATCTAGTTGAAGAAGCCTAATTTAGTTAATACCCTTCCTTAAATACCTTTTTAGGGAGGGGATTCGGCCACTTAGATAGGAATCTGAAACATTTGATGCCACAAGTACAGTGTTGCAAAAATAGCTTTTACATTTATGTGGACATTTTGCCTGCAATTCAGGTAACCACCACTAGATGACAGCTTGGATTATGAAACTTGATATGGTTTTTCCAGCTGAAACTCCAAGCATTTCATACTTAAGTCAATCAATCTTGTTTTTTCTAAGAAAATAAAGCTCTTTACTAAAATAACTATTTAAATGTTTAATCATTGTAATTTTTTAGTATAAACAAAGAGATCACATCTGTACTAAGCTTGAAAAAATAAAGAAATCTAGATACAAGTTAGGTACCATCTAATTTATATTTAATTAGTTCAGTAACTACTTACCAAATCTCTTAATTTCTTTTTTTTTATTTTTTACTTCTGTGTTTATAAAGTTTTGGGTCTAGTTGACAGACATTGAGCAGTCATTTAATGTATGAATCTTTGCCATTTGATGCTTTGTGAATCTGATGGTTTTATTACATGGCTGCTAGATGGTTTTCAATGCTAACCAAAAATATTTTAATGGAAATTTCACAAAAATTTGTTCCATGGAACACTAATAGAGTATAAGAAATGCTGTTTACTTTATCTTCACTCTTGGAGATTCACAACGCATATTAGCATATTACAGGCTTTGAGAAATCCTGCATTTAAGAAACTTATTTAACGATTTTAATGTATCATTTTACAAACATGTTTGACCATAGAACCCATTTTCTTTTTCAAACTGAAACCTGTAACAGGTGTTCCCTGTAATAACCCCTGTAACAGGTGTTCAATAGAATACACTTTAGAAATACATTATTTGTTGAAAGAACTGCCACCTGCTTCTACTACAGTTTTCTGCTGCTCTTCTTTCTTTCTTTCTCTCTTCCTCTCTGGGTAAAAGAAAGGAAGGAAGGAAAGAAAGGGGGAGAAAAGAAGAGAGAAAGAAAAAGAAAAATTCTATGTATTTGACTTTGTTTGTATAGTGAAAAACCTGAATTTCCACCTTCATCAGGCCCAAACTGCCCTCCATACCTCTACAACCCACTAGGGTGGTGTCACAGAAGGCCTGAGACTTTCATCCCCTGGGGGCATTAACAAGGCTGTCTTCCACCTATTGTATCAGTGGAGATTATGTGGGGAGCTTGGAGTTCCACCTTTACCTAGTATTAATGATACACCCCTCCCCATCCCAGTGGCTTAGGGGAGAGTCAGGACATTCACTACTGCCCAATAGGAATGAGGCCATCTTCTTACTTGGTGCTGCTGGAGGCCATGTATAAGGCATCCCTGCCCCTCCCAGTCAAAGTGGTATCAGCAAAGGACTAGTGGGGACCCTCAGTTTCCACCCAGCAGTAATGAGGAGCCCCTCCCCGCCGGGTGTCATGGAGGCCAGGTTGAGAACACGGACTACCACTGCCACATGTCATTAATGAGGTGGCAACCCTACTTCCTCTGCTGCAGTATTGTCAGAATAGGGCTGCTAAAATACAACATTTAAATGAGATCCAGAATCTCAAAACACAATACCCAAAATGTCCAGGCTTCAATAGAAAGTCACTCACCATACCAAGAACCAGGAAGATCTCTACTTGAATAAGAAAAGACAGTCAACAGATATGAACACCAAGATGATACAGATGTCAGATTTATCTGACAAGAATTTTAAAGCAGCCATTATAAATATTCTTCAAGAGGCAATTAAGAGTATGCTTTCAACAAATGAAAAATTAGAAAGTCTTGGCAAAGAAATACACAACATAAAAATCTACTGGAAATTTTAAAACTGAAAAATACGATAACCAAACTAAAAAACCCAGTGAATGGACTTAGTAGCAGAATGGAGAGAACCGAGGAAAGAATCAGTCAGCTGGAAGATAGACCAATAGAAGTTTGCCTGTCTGAACAAAGGAGGGAAAATAGAATGGAAAAAAAAAAGACCAGAGCCTCAGGGACATGTGGGACATAATAAAAGATCTGAAATTTGTATCATCAGAGTCCCAGAATGAAACAAGAATGAGAGTGAGGATGAAAAAGTATTCAAAGAAATAATGGCTGTAAAGTTCCAAAATTTGCAGAAGACACAGACCTACAGATTCAAGAATCTGAGCAAACCCCACAAGGATACACCCAAAGAAATGCACACCAAGACAAATCATAGCCAAAGTTCTGAAACTAAAGAAAATTTGAAATCTTGAAAGCAGCCGGAGAGAGATGGTAAGTTATGTATAGGTGAAAAACGATTAAGATGTCAGCATATTTCTCACAGGAAGCCATGGAGGCCAGAGGTAGTGACCCAGCATTTTTCAAGTGCTGAAGGAACAAAACTGTCAACCCAGAATTCTATACTCAGTGAAGATGTCCTTCAGGAATGAAAAGGAAATCAAACCGAGCAACCAATAAAAAAATTCTATGCAAAGAGATACACTCAAAATACTATCCAAAACCAAAATCCACTGCTGTTGCGTTGATCTGATTCATAGCAGCCCTATAGGACAGAGTAGAACTTCCCCATAGGGTTTCCTAGGCTGCTGTCTTTAGAGGAGGAGATCGCCAGTTCTTTTCTTCTGCGGAGGGGCTGGTGGATTCAAACCGCTGACCTTTTGGTTAGTGGAGGACCCCTTAACCATTGCGTCACCAGGCTTCTTCATAAATATACATATGTGATAAAATGGCATAGAACTATACACACATATTGTATTTATGTCAGTTTCCTGGTTTTGATATTGTACCACAGTTACGTAAGATGTACATATTGGGGGAAACAGGGTGAAGGGGACATAGAACCTCTCTGTAATATCTTTGTAACTTCCTCTGAATCTCTACTTCAAAATAAAAAGTTAAAAAAAAATTGGAAACAGTTATATAGAAATTTCCTAACAGATGTTGATATATTATGCTATATTTAATCCATTATTTGAAGGTAGACAAAAAAATGGGGAAAAAAAACAACAGAATATAACTTATAAAAAGAA